ATGCAGTCCGCCCATTTTTTTCCTCCAAATCCAGGGAGTTGTACAATCCCGGCATACAAAAATTGGTTCCACGTTGGCAAAGGGTCATTGAATGTGTTGGTAATTACTTCAACGAATAAATAGAGTGCCTTATTGTTTCTCAATAAAGATTTATATTTTTATACTAAAAACCGCACGAACTTATTTGGTTAGCTGATACATATACATACTTCACAGATCATAGATTTTCCTGTACATTTGCCCTGAAACTTAGAAAATTTTTTTCAGTAGACGTGGCTGCAAATATTGCTTCTTTGAAAGTGAAATATGCATGCGGGGGGGCGCTATACATACATACAAGCATTACGCTTGGAGTATAAATAAATGAGCTTACTTGATTTCGTCAGGTAATTTTCTATAGAGATTGTGTTACGAAAGATTACGCATTAGGCTGAAGGACGGTAACGCTGTCTCTTTCTCAGGTGACGCGCCCACACTCGACCGCCGGCGTCGACCGAGCTGCAGCAGTGTGCTCGATATCGCGCGATTGCCACTTTTCTCCCTTTCGAAACCTCGCACTAAGTAATCCTTGAACACACAACTTGTATTTAAGTACGTATCATGAGCTATTATAATCAGTTATCAAACATTGTTGACAAACGGTTTTATATCAGAGCTCAAAAGAAATGTATGGACACGCTCATTGCTGCAATATGAGGAATTTTTTCCATCACAAGCCCAAATACAGGTGGACCAGAAAAACGTACGAATCTCAAAACCGCATTGCTCGTGACAGGCACGCGTTCGCGGGACTTGGGTAGTGGGGATAAGTAGCTTGGTGCTCGGAAGTTTAGTCGCCATGGAACGTTTCTAACGATTTAAATCAAAGTCCTAGTGAAAGTGTGATTAGGTCGTGGGTCAGTAAGTTCGAATGTACCGGTCCGACACTGTATCAGAAACCTGCGGGGCGTCCAAGGTCAATACGGACAGAGGAAACTGTAAGCGAAGAGAGAGAGAGAGAAAGAGATCAGCTGAGCCCGCCATATCAAGAACATCTGTAAGGCGTATTTTGGTAAATGACCTTAGGACGAGAACGCCGTGTAAGGCGGTTTCCTACTTACTGGCAATCAGCGCCGATTGGCTCCTATAAGCTTGTATAATAGTATCATGTTTTTGAGTTGGCAATAACACATGCTCGTCTGCGCAAGCAGTCGGCGCTACCGGTTTTGCCGGAATGATGTGGATGAGGGATATAGACAAGTTAATCGCATCAATATACAAACAATGCCCCATATGGGATAAAAAGTAAACAACACAGTAACAGAAACGTGGCTGACAAATGTTGGAAAGAAATACTGAAAAAAGCCGTCGGGGTCATATTTTAACGCTTTGAACAAATGATGATATTTACCATAATGTACCATCTCACTATTTATGGGGTGAATATCAGCTTCCTTTCTAGCAGTTATTTTAGTTACCAATGCTATAAATTCATCTTCAGATAAGCTAGAACCCCATCTTGACGCGAAAACCACGCTGGCACTGACAAGAGACCGATTTTATTTGCTTTTTCCTCGTCATCACTGTGTCCATCACCAGCGCCGAAATTCGGTGCCGATCGGCGCTGGTTGCCGCTAAGCAGGAAACCAGGTTCCACTGTGTTATCGCGCTCAAATTGCACCCATATGAACTTCAACTAGACCACCATCTACACCGTGCGTTTGCCAAAACAATGTTAGAGCGCTTTCCAAGTTTGAACATTATCTTTTCCGATGAAGCTCTTTTTCATTCGACTGGATTTGTTAATAAGCAAAATTATCGCAGAAAATCCCAAATTAAAACACCAACGACCTTTGCATTCGCGTTATGACACAGTTTGGGCGGCTATATCGGCTGAAGGAATCATGGTATCATATTTCGTCGAAAACGACCAGACTGTAACAGTGAATCCTAATCGCTACCCTGCAATGCTACGTACCTTTTTCTCTCCACAACTGCATAATATTACCTTTCATAGCAGGACTTGGTTTTGATAAGATGGCATGACATCCCATACCGCCAACGAGTCTTCAACAGTTGTAATCGAAATGCTTAGCGGAAAACTGAAAAAAAATAAAATTCCCGTGTGTCTACTTTATCAAAAGTATAAATTATCTTCCCTACGCTTTGTAGTTTTTTTTCTACGATTTTTTAAGATCCGTTCAACTTAATAATAATAATAATGTTTATTGGAGTATATACATAACATAAATACAAAACACATAATACCATAAAAGGTTGGGGGTTGGCAATGCCATTTTTCACCCAGCCTACTAAACTATAGATGTGAAACTTGTTAACATATTATGGGTAACAATGTTGAGCATACATAACGTTCTTATATATTATTATATGAAAACCATAATAGGAACAATTTATTTCTGCAGTGAACTGCAGTTGTAATAGCTTTATTTTAAATTCGCTTTTAAAATTATTGATAGAAAATCCTTCATAAAATTTGGAATAATCATTCAGAATAGATGGAAACATTTCTTAAATTCAGATGATGTATGGGCCGGTATGTTGTAACAATGATCATTGCGTAAAAATACTTGTCGAAGTGATGACCGTTTCTCTAATTTACTAAACAAATACCTAAGGGATTTGTATTTTAGAATTCTATAAAGCAAGGTAGCATAAAACAGCAACGTGCGATATGGGAATTTTGAAACGTTTTCTCTGATATAATATCTAGTAATGTGCCCTTGTCTGTGTATATCGCTGTGACAAAACCTCATACAACAATTTTGATGAATTTAGATTTTCTGCTTCATTTCCTCTGTCAGAAAATTATGATAAACTGCAATTCCATAATCTAGATGTGTTAGAATTAGTGAATTAATTATAATAAATTGTAATTCCATAATCAAGATGTGTTAGAATTAGTGAATTAATAAGTCTTGCTTTAATATCACTTGGCAATAAATTCTTGTATACTTTATCTGAAGTCACTTGAAACACTGTGAAATACCGGGTGCGTTTTATATATCTATATTTAACACGCTCTGTTGCTGCAAAAATCGCAAATATCCCCCGTATAAGATCAAAGGCAGTTTCACCGGTCCACGTGGAGTAAAGCACGCCTATGCGTGGACATAGCCAATGAGAAAGCGTGTATTTCAGAGCTCCGAACAAGTGCAGGTGGCTACTGAAAATTGAAACAGTTTAGCCAGTGCCGTGTAGCGGTGAATAAACGTGTTTTCTTTAGTCTGTCCGTGTTTTTTCATAGATTTTATTAGTTTGTGTGTTTTTGACTTTTGAATACTCGGTTTACTTGTTGATTTAAATGTTGTGTTGATTTTAAACAGAATTTGTATCCTGACAAAAATCAGTCGGTCTACCATTTATCGGGTTATAAAAAGGGGAGATGTAGTCAACCATTCCTTCCACAGAAAGCGCATAGGGTAAAAATTAAAAAGAATAGACGTGGGTTTTCAGGAAGATATTCGTCGTATAATATACGGATTTTATAAATAAAATTTGGTGCCCACGTTGGAAATGATACGGGATAAATTAAAAGATTATCCTGAAGATTTTTATAATTACAAATGCTTAGACTCACTGCACTGTATTGTAAAACTGTGTGGTTTTCAATACAAAAAATTAGATAAAAGAATGGTGATTATGGAGTCGTCTCGAATCGTTGAATTGCGCCAAGAATTTTTGCACAAAGTTAAAATCTATAGAGAGCAGAAAAGAAATCTGATTTACCTGGATGAAACGTGGTATGATACCCATGATGTTGTGCAGTACGGCTGGGTTGACGACAGCAACAAGTGCATTTTAAATGCACCATGCAACCCTGGAAAACGAATCATTATTCTCCATGCTGGCAGTGAAAATGGATTTATACCTAATGCCTTGCTGTTATCTGCCAAAAATATCAAAGAATCATGTGCCGACTATCATGAGGACATGACCTCCGACTTATTTGAAAAGTGGATAGAGCAGCAGTTAATAGCAAACATTTCCCCAAATTTAGTGATTATTATGGACAATGCGCCATACCATTCCCGACAGAAAAACAAAATTCCGAATACAGGCACAAAAAACAAGACATTATTGATTTTATGAAGGATAAGGGAATGGAAATACCACAAAAATCAACCAAAGCCATATTATTGGATCTTATTAGAAGACAAAAATTTGAAAAAGAGTATGTTGTTGACAATCTGCTTCTGCAAAATGGCCATGAAGTATTACGTCTACCTCCCTATTACTGCATTTTTAACCCGATTGAGTTGGAGTTTAAAAAAAAAAGTAAGAAAACGTAATCAGACCCCTCAATTAAGTGAATCGCTATTGGCCACAATAAGAGATGCAGTATCTCATTTTGCTGCCACAGACCTATGGAAGCAGTGTTCTAGGCACATTATTGAAAAAGAAAATGAATATTGTGTTTTGCCTCCTGTGAATCCCGTTGTAATTCCTCTACAAGATGACTCTAGCGACAGCTCCGAAGGCGAGGATGATATATAAATACCTATAATGTAAGTCTTTATATACCTTTTCATATACCTACCTGCTATGTAAATATTTGCCTATGTCAAACGTTGGAATTCTGCAATTTTTCCATTTCTTAACTTTCAGTCAACATAAATTAAACTCCCAATATAAGTATTTTTTATCCCAAATCAGAAAAATAAGAAGATAGTAAAATCCATTTATTGTGATATAAAAACATTATTATTATCGTTCTAAATAAATGACCGCACGCCTATGATACGTCATGAAATTACAAAGGACGCGCCGACCAAAGGTTTTTATGCTATTTCAAGTGACTTCAGATAAAGTGTACCTCCAGAGAGATTTGTATTCAAAATAACATAATGGTCCACGTCTTTTTGAATCCATTGCACTACATGGAAAATTGTACTAGAGGTGGTTTCGAAAGCGTGGGAAGTATAGAGTCAATCTACTTGATGCCATTTTTTCTCATAGTGTGTTGTTTGATCTCACTGAATTCCTTCTCGTTGTTCCAGCAGCTCCATTGGGCGCACTAATGTGATATGCGAAATAAACTAAACGCGACCGAGTGCGCGGCTCTGCGGGAGGAGGTCGACTTCACCGACACCCACCTGTTGATATCGTTATCAGTGCTTGCTCTCATCATCGTCATGGTCATCATAGGCAACTGCCTGGTCATCGCAGCTGTCTATTGCTCCTCCAAATTGAGGTCGGTCACCAACTTCTTCATCGTGTCACTGGCAGTAGCGGACCTTATGGTGGGAGTTGCCGTGCTGCCTTTCTCCGCCACCTGGGAGGTCTTCAAGGTCAGTTTGTTGTTATTATACAGGGTGACTTCGAAGTTGAGTCATTTATTTTAACAGTGAGTAGATCTGATCAAAAGGAATGTTTTTTCCCTTTAACATTTTTCTGGTAAAATTAAAGTAACAAAGTTATAGCCCTTTAGAAGTTTGAGTACCGCCGTGTCTCAATAATAATATTATGTGCTCGTGTTTGGCAACAACGGATATAATCCGCCTTATCGGTTCATCGCATCGGAAACAAAAAAGCGAAAGAATTTGGAACGATGTTTTTACTACAATGTTCAATCTTATTCAGTTGGATTCAGTCGATGTGTCAGTCGGTAACGCGTGAGTGAATAGTGAATAAAAAATGGCACATGTTTACGAAAATGCTGAATGTAGTACAAAGGGCTCGTGAATCAGGTGACTTAAGACCTCACAGGGGAGGGAATGCCGGTGCTCCAAGACCGCACGATCAAATACAGGTCCGCACTGAAATACTTGTCGGGAGGATACTTTATAAAACAAGGTAACATTTTTTTTAATTTTTTTTTATTTTTACACACATATTTTGGTTTATCTTCCTTCTACAACCGGTATCTGAAAATTAATGACTCAACTACAAAGTATATTTCTATTTGATGGAAGTCAATAAATTATTTCAGACCAATTCCACGGTAAAACCGACCTGACAGTCGAAAACTGAAGCTTGCCGTATATGTCTATTTTTTGTGCTCGTATCTTTTCTGTATAGACTTTATGCGCAACACTTCTCGCTAGTCCGGTACCATGCCCAGGAAGCCTCAAAAGTATAATTCTATATATTAGTATTTATTCGCCAAAATACAAAACATCATAAAAACAAAAAACCTGTCTCCCACTATAAAGAAGAAGATTCACAAACAACGATAGATTTAAGTATACTAAGTGACATATAAATCCGAACACCCAGTTTAAATGGTTTTATTTTAATAAAATTTTTTATAAGTACCTACTTAATGAAGCATAATAAGTAAATGATAAAAATTTCAAAATGATTGCACTGCTTTAAAGCCCTTTGACCTTTAATAATGTGTGGATGCACCCTGATGTGCTACGCATTCTCCAACGCGCCTAGGCATGCTTCTGATCAGGTGGTCAATGCCCTCCTGTGGTATCTCATTCCAGGCAACCACCAACTCCTCTCGAAGTGCTTCTAGAGTCTGAGGAGGACGTTGCAAATTGAGCACTCTTCTACCCATCATATCCCACACGTGCTCAATTGGGGATAAGTCGGGAGATCTTGGTGGCCATGGTAACAATGTGACATCATTATGTTGAAAGAAGTGTACTGTGACTCTTGCAACATGTGGTCGGGCATTATCTTTTTGGAAAGTTGGATCTGCCAGGGTGTCAAGATAGGGTAAAAGATGGGGTTCTAGAACTTTGTGGATATAACGCTGCGCGTTCATGTTACCTCTGATGAAGATTAAAGGTGACCTGGAACCATAAGCTATAGCACCCCAAACCATAACTCCAACAGTGTGATGAACAAAAAACTGTGGATTCCTCCTTTCACCACGTCGCCTTCTAACCCTGGCACGACCATCGTGCATGCCTAAACAAAAACGAGACTCGTCACTAAAGACAATACTGTTCCATTCCTGATCCCAGAGTGACCGTTGTCTGCACCACTCAAGGCGATTACGTCGGTGTTCTCGAGTTAAAGGGAGGACCCAGTGTGGCCGGTATGAAAACAAGCCAAAACTTCTCATTCGTCGGTAAACACTTCGCATGCCAATAGGTCTTCCGTGTTCTGCAAACCATTCATTTGCAATGGACCTGGTAGTGGAGAAACGGTCCCTTAAGGCCAATAATCTTAGGCGGCGATCATCACGGTCTGTTGTTCTACGGCGGCGTCCAGTGCCCCTTGCTCTTTGCGTACGGCCTTCTCGAAGCCATGCCTGACAACACCTAACCACAGTGTCTACACTTCTTTGCACTCTAACTGCAATTGCCCGAAAAGAAAGTCCAGCTTCCCGAAGTCCCACTATATGGCCCCTATCAAACTCACTAAGTTGACGAAATCGTACAGGTCTCCGTACTCTAGGCATCGTAACCGATCGTAAAGGATGTCAAGAACCAAAATCCGCTAACGTTGATTCTTTACTGCGGCTGAAATATTCATTTTTAGAGCGTTAGTGAATTAAAAAAAAGCAGTATAAAAACCGGAATGTCCAACTGATAAGGCTGAAAAATGTTTCACTTGTTATTTACAGCAAGATAAATACATTCACCAACTTTTATTAAAATAAAACCATTTAAACTGGGTGTTCGGACTTATATGTCACTTAGTATATAGTTTTCACCGAAATAAAAATCCTAAATAACCTTGACATTGCTTGTTTACTTTAGACGTTAAGAGCGGCTCCAGGTGGCAGACATCCTATTTACTCGTAATGCAAAGTAATGTCTATCAGTTATACTAAACCTCTTATAATTATGAATATTTCTGACAGTTTTGAAGCGGACGGTTCACAGCTGGTGTGCTGAATTATCTTCTCAACTGATACATTTATACAGTGTGCCCCATGTAGTATCGCAGCGATCGATTTCTCATTAAGCTACCGTAAGGCGGTGGCGAAAATTTAATTTATAGTACATCTGGCACTGCCGGGTGTACAGGATATAGACACCAATTTGCTTACATTAAATAGATCACCCTACATGCTATTTAATTTTGATGAGAATGTTACTAAATACATTACATGTACATCATCCTAAACCTATGCCTAACTGTGTTTGAGATATCTCAAAATTGTCTTTGCTATATGATTTTCAATGGATTTCATATATCAGGGGATCTACTTCAATAGATAGATAATAGATCATTACCGATTTTTGTAACAATGGTGGTCAAAAAATGACATCAAGTAGGTTGACTCTGCATTTCCCACGTCACTCTCTTATCAGTACCTAAAGGAACATGTTCACCACAAACTAGGCCCTCTGAGAAAAAAGTCAGTCAAATAGGTCTATGCAATCAGTCCATAGACATCCTTTCCTTGCCCTAGCGGTGGTGCATCTGGAAACGTCAATGTCAGGCAAACGTGGCACCGTAGGAGCGCTGTCAGAGCATAGAAAACACTATGCTGTTGCCCGGCAGAAATACGTGTGATTCCGTACCAAAACACTCATCACGGTGCAAGCGTTTTAGACCTTTTCCTCTGAAAAAACTACAAATTTTTTGCGTCGTTGGTATAAAAGTTTCATCGAAATCTGAGCGCTGGTTCTCGAGTTATAAGATTATCGGACAGACCGACAGTCAGCATTAAAAACACAGCTAATTTTGTACAAGGTTGTCTATTTTGGAAATTAGTAGTTTTCTAGATATATGTACATATTGGTTTTTCTCTCGCTTAAATGCTTCATGCGGCTTTTATCATGAGATAATCTCAGTTAGTAATGACACGGCGACATCGTGACGTCCTTACTAGCCAGATTTCCGCCATAGTCAACCAAGATTATGTTATGGTAGAAGCTTTAAGGGGCATTTAAGTAAAAGAAAAACCAGGATTAGCATTTATCTCGGAAGCCATTAATTTGCGAACTAGATAACCTCCATACATCGTCAACCGTATTTTAAATGCTTAAAACGATAAAATTATAAAAACGTCTGTCTTTCTTTCGAGAAAATTGTCTTTTTCAGTTTTCGGGAGAATGAGGGCATCATAATTGTGCTGAATTTCAGCAGTTTAGTAGTTCATGTAAAAAGCTAATTGTTTTTCCCAAAGAAGAATTATTTAAAAAATTGTTCTTAACCAAGGCATGGTTATAGAACATTTTACAAAAGTGAACTGGACTCTTGAAGGTTTCCACAAGAATTTCTAAAAAAATTAATTATTTATTTCAAAATTGCTGTCAAAATGATGTTAAAAAATAGCCATTTTTATAGTTATAAACATTTACAATAACCACGTTATTTTTCAATATAGTTTATTTTAACAAGTTGATCTGGATAGGTGGTTAAGAAACGCCTATTTTAAAAAAACCTTCTACGTCCAATATGAGACAAGATATATATTTTTTTTAAATTCATATCCCGTTTATAAACATCAAGACTCGAAATTTTCACAGATTGTAAGCAAGGATCTCAATTTTATGATACAATTTACAATTTTATTATTACTTCAAAGGTATTCAAGAAATAGCTGCCTGAAGTGAAGGTACCCGCGCAAGTATTTTCGGGTGAGGTGGTGGGGGAATTAGCCCCAGCTCGATTTATTTTTTGAAATTAAGTCTTCAAACGTAGGACTTTCTCCTCTTTTGAGTTTGGGTTAACTCGTCGAAATAATGTCATCTGGTACATTTTCATTTTCCTGGAAAATCGGGAAATCTCGGACAATTAAGCACGTTCTATTCTTCAAAATAGAAATACTATGAAATAATGATAAATTAACAATAAACCATTTACTTTTACTCGCACTGCAATAAAATTATTTATATTTTACGATAAAATTGCTGAAACAATTCATAATTTAGTTAATTAATATACTCTTTACAAAATACACTAATAAATTGTAAAACATATTCTTTCACGTTTGTCTTTCATCTATATTTATTTTACTTGCATTCTTTGTGGTGTAATAATATTATATAATGTATTTTTCTATTATAATATTTTATTATTTAATTAATCTTGATCCTCCGTTCTAAGTCTTTTATTTGGGCGCTCTACTTCTTCACCAATATTTGTATAACTCAAATAAGTCGTCGATTTTCTGTCTGCTTTTCATCATCCTTGATTCCAATAACAGAAAGGTTGTAGCATTTTGTGTCATCATCACCATCACTACAATTTATGCACAAAGGTGTGCAATTTATCCCATGTTTTTTGCAACGACACCTACCGTTTGGCAACCAGTATTTCATTTGCAGGGAATTGGTTTGATTACTTCTGGTATCAAACTGTCCATAGTATAGATCTGTTCGAAAGTGTTGCCACTTCGCCTCTACCCGTACTTGGTTGGATCTAATTTATTGCCTATGTTTGTAACTGGTAATATACCCGTAGAAGGTTTTTTGAATATTAGTTTTTTAACCACCTTACCACCTACCCAGATCGACTTGTTAAGATAAATTGTATTGAAAAATAACAGCATTATTGTAAATGTCTATAAAAATGGTAATTCTTAACACCATTTTTAACAACAATTTTGAAATAAATAATGAATTTTTCTCTTTAGGTTGAATCTATTCCACTTTTGTAAAATGTTCCAGGACCATACCTGGGCAAGAACAGTTCTTTAAATTCGTCTCAGCGATAAACAATTAGCTTTTCACACAAACTATCAAATCAATCCGGCAGTTGTTAAGCCGAATGATGCCCTCATTCTCCCAAACTTTTAGCCATTCACAATTGTTATTACAATTGTTATAAGCATTTATTCAATGTTGCTAAAAAGCACCGTATCTAGCTTAATTGTTTATCGGTTTTGAAAATTTTATAATCAAAATAGTGATTTTTCGGCTTTTCCTATTGTTTATAAAAAACAACGCCCATCTGGCTGTATCTTTTTACGAGGGATGTTTTTTTTGCATATTGAAACATAGTAGGCCGCGCGGATCGAACGTCAGTACTGAATCTTAACCTCACTCTTTAGTAAACTTAAATTCGAAGTTTCAGAAGAATACGTGCAGTGTTCTCACTACAGTGAATTTTTAAGTGTCATTAAGTCATTAGAAAAATGAAACTCAACGGAGAACATTTTCGCGCCATAATTTATTACAACTTTCAGAGACAATTATCGCAACAGGAATGCCTTGGTGAGTTACTGTCTGTTTTCGGCAACAAAGCGCCACATCAGTCGACAATTTCCCGTTGGTATGGAGAATTCAAACGTGGACGGGTGAGTCTTAGCGACGATCCCAGGGTGGGTGCTCCAAAAACGGTAGTCACTCAGGAAACTCATCATTGAAGATAGACATGTGACATATCGCGAAATTGAGGCGTCCTTGAAGGTCTCAAAGACCTCAATTCAAAAAATTTTACATGAATAATTAGGAGTAAGAAAATTAGTTTCTCGTTGGATAGCCCACCTGTTGACTGAGGAGCAGGAAGCAGCCAGGGTTAATTGGTGACAAAAAACGCTTGGCGGTTTCAACTCCGGAAACTAAAAAAATGTGTACAGCATTGTTAGTGGTGATGAATCGTGGATTTACTGTTATGAACTATAAAATAAACGACAGTCGGCTGTTTGGGTGTTCCAAGGTGAAGAAAAGCCACCAAAAGTCATCCGTTGTGTAAGTGCTTCGAAATTTTTTTCTCTTGGAGAATACTTCGAAGGACAGTAAATTCATTTAAAACTACCTTCCGTATTGTTTTATTTCCATATGCAAAACTTAACAGACATCCTTCGTATGTATTTGACATTAGAAGCGCCCCTTCCATTTGAAGCTTTCAGATATCTGCTAAACTCTCATTCAACTTTTTTTATTTAGCCTGGACTAAAACTTGATGGCAATAAATATCACGATAGACGATTTCATCGTAAAACCTGACAACCTCGGACCAACTACCAACTAATCATCCATTCAGCTGAGGTCTGTGCCTATTTGGAAGAAATACCCGACCGAGACATGGAGATTGTCAGAAAATGCATTTGGCGGAGATATTCCTGTACCTGCCGCATTTTCCACAAATATGCTTTCAAATTACACCGCAAATACGTACAGATAGGGTACCGGGATTGCACGAAGTGCTTTTACGTTGAAGATCAAAATCAAGTGCGCTGTTTTGAAGGCGGCAGCCTTATTTCCTTCCACAGAGATAGATTAGATTTATAGGCAAAGCTGACAGGCGAATACATGAGATAGGAACGCAACGAGTTCTTTTCTTTGACAGGGAACACCCTCAATTTCCGTCGCGAGCCGGCCTAATTATATATGAGGTTCCTTTGCAATTTGTAACTCATGCGTTAGCTGTGACACTTCATGGTATTCGTCAACATTTTCTCTGCTGCAAGTCTCGTGCAATACACTGAAGCATCCATAGTCCAGGCTAGATAAAAAAGGTGAAACAAAGTTTAGCAGATATCTCAAAGTTTTAAATTGATCCTAGTCAGTGGCGGCTTCTCGTGGAAAACTAAAGCAGGTGTTCTGCAAATCCGAACTTACCTATTTTTTATATGTCAGTTCGATCCTGCGCTCCTTCTTGGCAGCAAATTTGTCGATCACCTTCCCGTTGGAATTTTCCATGGTCGAAATAAATTCCTTTTCAATGGACAGCATCGACAACGCTGTAAGGCGATCCTGGGTCATAGTATTTCGAAGAAAGGTCTTTATTCTTTCCAGTGTTGAGAAATTTCGCTCAGCCTCTGATGTTGACATAGGAGTTCTAACAATAATTTCTAATACCTTTGTTATTTCTTTTAGTGTTTCCTCCAAACTATTTTGTATCAAAAATTTCAGAGACAGAGTTCCGTGTAAATCTCGGCAATCATTCCGTGCATAAATAACAGAAAACGACTTTTTTCTAATTCGGGATAAGCCAAGTAGGTAGTTTCCAGTCATCAGGAAACTTACCACAGTATTCTCCAAACTGTTCGGGGAAAAAAAGGATGCGGCTACCAAATGATCTTTGAATTGAAGTCTGTCATTTGCAGAATTCTCTATATTGTCGCATACTTCTAATGCGGCAACTCGGTGATCGTGACTGCTATTATTACGTTGTCTCCTTTTGTTGCCTTGGGGTTCAGTGCAAATACTTTTGGCTTCATTTATTATGTCATCAATTTTATTTCTCACATCGACAATACATTTTTCAAAATTATCTATAGCCGTTTTAACTTGCGCTGGCTCGGTTTTTCTCTTCTGCAACTGGTTGAACAAGATGTCGACGTGAGGCATGACATGATGAAAAGATGTCAACCAAAACACGAAAACAAAATCGTTTAATATACGGCGAATACCGCAAGCTGCCTTGCAAACGGTTTCATTAGTGAAATTTTCTTCTATTTCTTCCATGCATTCAATGACTGATTCTCTGTTCTCAAACACTACATTTATTGTTCGAATATTAAAATTCCAACGAGTTGTTGTTTCTTGGGGAATATTTTCCCCACAATTCTGTTTAGTACCTCTACGCGTTGAGGAGGATTATTAAAAAATCCCGGAATATCTTTCAAATCCCCAAAGAACACCCCAACTTGAGCATTTGCGGAAGCAACTAGGGACATAATCAGGTTTAACTGATGCGCATAGCAATGCACATAGTGAGCAAATGGATATCTTTGTTTAATTTTTGCCTGTACTCCAGCATTATGTCCGCTCATTACCGCGGCTCCATCATAGCTTTGTGAAATCAGTTTGTTAGGGAAATTTCCTATTAATGCATATACGACGCTCAAAATATGTCTTATGAGAGTATCAGCGTCACATTTTTCGTGATTCATATAATTCCAAAAACGTTCTACTGGTTCGCCATTAAATACGTATCTGAAAATTGTTACCAGTTGGGTTTTCCCCGAAATGTCCGTTGTTTCATCTGCTATTATCGCCAAACACGAGGCTCTGTTAATCTGTTTTATTATTTCTTCATGACAAACTTCAAGAATACAATCCAGTAGATCGTTTTGTATTTCTTTCGAAGTTCCTTTAAATATTGAAGCATGTTTATGTGTTCGCTTAAGGTTGTATAAAGCTCAGCAGAAAAATTAATCAGTCCACGAAATATTCCCGGGTTTTGGGAGCTCTCGGTTTCGTCGTGGCCCCGCAGCGCCAATTCAAATGCTACGCAAGGTTTTATACAATCGATTATTTTTTATTGAGCTTACCTGTTTTTTGTAACGGTATCATTATGCTGTTATATATTTCTCCAATATGCTGAATCTAACTGAGCTCTGATGTTAACAGTCCCCAATAAAGCCACTTCCATCGAATCATGAAGGTGTGTTTTGGAGTTTTCATACTTCTTAATTTTTTCACTTAGGTGCACTAAATCTGTAACAACTACCTCCGTCCAAGCTTTGTCACCGCCTGTTGCACCCACAAATCCAGTCATTTCTGACGTAAATCTCCCTGCTGAAATGCCTCGTATAGCCCTTGCCCCGACTAACGCCCTGTGTTTCTATAAATATGTCCGGCAGCGGTTGAGCTAACACCTTCAGCTCAATTTTTTCTTCAAATGTGTATTTACGGAATCGTTTCACGCTAAGTCTGTAAACCACATCCATTGTCTTGCACTACCTTTCTACACAGCCACAGTCAGTCAGTGAGTCACTGGTCACTCAACCCAAAATACCTAAATAAAAAATGTTTCGCATTCAAATTTTAAGCCACATCACGCGAAAAAGCCAATATGCCAATACCGCCGAGGACCGAGCACCGACCGACCAATCAGATATCGTACTTCGCATCAGATCTGTACGGATCTGTATAACTTGCAGCACATGCTTATGCTTAAATCGCGCATTTGATTTTGTAGAGAGAGACAAAAGCAAGCGAGTGCGGCTTGTGTCGAAGTAGTGTACAGACCCCTTTCAAGTGGCCCATGAATAATAATGTTATGCTGAGGTCACGACGAAAATGACAAGTACACAATTGGTCCATTATAATGCTTTCTCAGTACAAAACAGACTCGACGCCGTGTCTTGCGGGGGCAGCGTTGCCGGTATTGTCTCTATTTGTGTGATAATATGGAAATAAATAATGATCAAATTACTACTGCTTTTTTCTGTTAGGAAGAAAAGTTTTGGCAGTTCTGCAGCTCTGCAGAACTTAAGGGCCTGCCGCCCCTTCTAATAACAAATACATAAAGATACTTCAGTAGATAATTCAGTACTTAGCTTGAATAATTTCAAGTTAAATCTTATAAACAATTGATAAACTGCCAAAGTATAAAAATACCTTAAATTTTGTTTTTTTAAGAATTAAAATCGATAAAATTAAGCTAAATACGGGGCTTTTTAGCAATATTGAATACATGTTTATAACTATTGCAAAAAGATTTGCAAATTGCTAATAGCTTCGTCAGAATGAGGGCATCATTTGTGTTAATGAGTGTGCTAAATCTCAGACGGATCGGTTTGATAGTTTATGTAAAAAGCTAATTATTTTTACCAGAGACGAATTATTCAAACAACTGTTCTCGCCCAAGAGATGGTCCTAGAACATTTTACAAAAGTGGAATGGATTCTCGGAGGTTTCAACTTCAAGAATTTAGGCAAAAAGTTAATTATTTATTTCAAAATTGTTGTTAAAATTGATGTTAAGAACATTTAAAATTATTTACTATTTAATTTATTATTGTTAAGTTGATCTGGACAGGTATTCAAAAAACCTTCTACGAGTATGTTAACAGTTACAAAAATGGTTAGGCAATAAATTAGATTCAGTCATGTACGGGTGGAGGTGAAGTGACGACGGTTTCCAACCGATCTATACTATAGACACCTTAATTACAGAAAATCCTATGAAACAAATTTCCTGTAAATGTACTACTAGTTGCCGAAAGGGTAGGTGCAGTTGCAAAAAACATGGGTTACATTGCTCACCTTTGTGCATAAATTGTAATGATGATGATTATGACACAAAATGCTACAACCTACAAGAGCAGACTGAGAAAATCAGTTATACAAATATTGAAGGAGTATAGCATCTAAATGAAGGATTTGGAAAGGAGGATCAAGATTAATTAAATAATAAAATATTGTAATAAAAAAATACATTATATAATAATATTATAACACAAAGAATGAAAATAAAATAAATATTTAAATGGAAGACAAATGTGAATCAATATTGTTTACAATTGATTAGAGTGTATTTTGTTGAAAGTATACCAATTAACTGAATTATGAAATATTACAACTTTATTGTAAAATAAAAGCTACTTTATTAGAGTGAGAGTAAAAGTAAATGATTTATTGTTGATTTATTATTATTTTATAGTAATTTCATTTTGAATTATACAACGTGTCATGTTTTCCGGGATTTCTCTATTTTACAGGAAAACGAAAATTATTTCGTCGAGATACCCCAAATTAAAAAAAGGAGGTTCTAGGTTGTTTAGAAGCCGAGATAATGCAAAATTTTACAGCGCGCTCCGATATGAAGACTCAGTTTCGAACAATAAATCGAGATAGAGCTGATTCCCCTACCACGTCACCATGAAGTACTCACGCGAGTACCGTTATTTTAGGTGGCAATTGAACTAATAGTAAAATTATAAATTGGACCATAAAATTGAGATCCTTGCTTAAAATCTGTGAGAGTTTTCAATCTCAAAGTTTATAAAGAAGACATGGATTTAAAGAAAAATTATCTTTGCTTCTGTTGGTCGCGGAAGGTTTTGTGAAATATGCCTTTTTTAACCACCTAACCAGATCAACTTGTTAAAATAAATTATATGTAAGTGTTTATAACTACAAAAGATAGCATTTCTTTAACATCAATTTTAACAACAATTTTGACAAAAATATTTAATTTTTTGCATAAATTCTTGAAGTTGAAACCTTCAGGAATCCATTTCTTTTTTGTAAAATGTTCAAGGACCAGGTCTTCGGCAAGAACTGTTGTTTAAACAATTCGTCTCTGGGATAAACAATTAACTCTTTATAGAAACTGTTAGATCGATACCTGAAATTCAGAAGATATATTAACAACCATCGTACCCTCTCTCTAACAAATTCTCAGCTATTTAAACTTGTTATTGCGATAGTTAGTTAGATAAATAGTTATTCAAAATCGCTAAAAATCCCCGTATTTAGCTTAATTGTTTATCGATTTTAAATCTTGAAAGATAAAGTTGAAGGTCTTTTTATGCTCCAAAATCTTTAGTTTACAGGTTATGTAATAAATTTAAATGGAAAATTATACAAACAGAACACTGAATTTTGAGTCTGTCCCGTTATTTATGAAAAAACAACTCATACCTGGCTGTATCTTTTTTTATTAGAAACCTTCAGATATCTGCTTAACTTGGTTTACACGAAATACCTATTTTCTTTCTCTGCAGCCTGGGCTACCACTAAATACTGCATTGCTGTGTTTATAGTGGAGCCTAATATTAGTAGACTAGGGATAAAGATCATCTGGCAGGTTGATCTACATTGGCGGTCTCCAAGGAATAAAATAGTTTCTATATACTGATACAGCCGACTAAGCAACCTGAATACTGGGGCACTTCGACTGCTAAGGGATCTTTAGGGCACCTCTTAATCCGACTTTTGAACAGGCTCAGCTCAGCAAAACTGGAAAAAGCCTCATTAGGTAGATAGACAGAGCTAGGATGGGAGGCAGAAGACTAGGAGGAGCAAAGCTCGTTGGAATACCGGTAACGTAAGTCCAAAAGGTTTTGACACAAAATTCATTGTATTTAATTTTAACAAACACAAAATAACATGAAGTTGCCTTTGGAAACCAAAAGTTTTCTTACTTACTTTACAGTCAGTTGACATTCATTTATTTTGAAGTTTTCGCTCTAAGATGTCGTATAAATTAGAAACGAGAAAAAGTATCTACAAGATGGTTGAGCGAGCACCCAAAGCTGAAATCTGTCGTATATTCCAGAATGAAAACATTTCGCGCAGAACCATTTATCGAACAATAGCGGAGTGCGAGCATGTCTGAATATCTGAAAAAGTCCACGTGCATTTACAGTACAGAGATTAGAGAGATTAATGAGAAGAGCAAAAAATCAGGTTGGAATGTCATCAAGATGACTGGCTCGTCAATACAGATCTTCTCTCATGAGAGACATTCGAAGAAAGCTGCGTCTGGTAGGAGTTGTAATTTATGATAACTAGTTAGTGTTTTGATAAATTTCATCATTAAAGAAAGCCGATAATATCTTGTGCCAAAACTTTAAGAAAATGGGTTTAGCCATTTTAGCTTAAAAACGGGCCATA